GCATCATAATGTTCTGCAACTTAAGGTTGATTTCTGAATCCAAAGGCATATCCACTGCAATCACTGGCCTTGCAAATGAAAGCAATTTGAAGTAAAGCTACAAGTAAAATCTATTAAAGATGTCAGTACAGTACTTCCCTTCAAGAGCTATTTCATCCAATTATTCTGCTTCAGTGCTGATTAATCTACAGCAGGTGTCAAACTCAAGGCCCGGGAGCCAGATCCAGCCCGCAAGGTGCTTAGATCTGGCTCATGGAAACAGTGAAGGGCTGGCCTGCAGTGCCTGTCAGAAAAAATGAGGACTGTGTGCAGCCCTCGTGAGCTGTTTTCACTGGCAGAGGGTTGCAGGAGGCCATTCAAGCCGAAAATGGAGCTTGCAAGGGCCACGCACAGCCCTGACCTGAATTTTTGCTGGCAGAAAGTTGGCGGAGGCCATCCCAGCCGAAAACAGAGCTCAGGAGCCCGTTTTTGTGGACAGAACAATCAGGCTACCACCGGCACCTCCTAACAAAAGTCATGTTGTCATACTGGCCATGCCCACCATGCCCCCCCGAGGTCAAACACAACCCTGATGCGGCTCTCAATGAAATTGAGTTTGACACCCCTGATTTATAGCTACCTAGAACATTAATACAATTAAGAATTACATTTAGGTTTATTATGAATTTATTTCTCCATGTTATTTGGCTGCTAAAACATTTTGCAAATAATCCAAACAAACTGTAGGTTAAATACCTCTCTTTTTCAGCTTCTTCTTGTGTTTTAGTGAATAGTTCTTCCAGCGCATCAGGAAATTCATTTTCTCTGAGCTCACGATAATTAACTATTTTCCGACTGCGCCGCTTTGGCCGGCCTGTAGAAGTCAGCTCCACAACTTCTTCCTATTAAATGGAAGAACTCATTTATAGAAGTGTCTTCCTTGAGCAATGATCAGTCCATTTATACCTACGGGTCATTCACCCGGACTGGTACATTTTCCTTTGTACTCTTCAGTGGATGCCATCTCTGCTTGTTTATTCCTCACAATTCAGCTGACAGAGCAGTGAAAATTAGGGTGTGAAAATAAATAAGTGACCACTCAGATACTAGTTCTTGTTTAATGTGTTTCTGGGATTCACTTTCATGAAAAAGAGAAAAACTAAAAACTGTGAAGGGGAAGAGTTGGAAATAACTAAAACATGGTCTACCATAGAATAATCCACGCTATTGAAATGCCCAGTGCTCATCATTGAAAATATTGTATATACCAGATTGTTATCCTGTAAGACTCTAAAACAGAAACATATATGGGAAAGGATGACTTTGTTTCCATTAGAAACAAACTTCTACAGCTTGTAATTATAACAAAACAGTGGAGACAACCTATACAAAGATAGAAATTCAAGTCTGGATATCCTGTTTTTCCAATATTTCCAAATATTTATCCAAGATAAATATTTACTGCCCCAAAGATATCTGAGTTTTGCAAAGAGACTGCCAGTTTACCTATATTTTTGAAGTAGAGAGTTTCTTAAGGGGCAGGGGGAACGGTTGGGGGGAAGAACACTTATTCTCAAGAGATTGCTTCTTCTATAACAGTAATGATGAACCTTTTCGGCACAGTGCCGATAAGGGGGCGCATGCAGGTGGCAACGAGTGCTGAAAAGGGAGCACTTCACATGTGTGCACTCATCTGGGCCACAACCAGGAAGATGAGTTGCCCAGGGGGCATGTGCATGTTGGAAAGTGTACTTCAGGGCACTGACGCACACTGATCAGATGGCTGGCATGCATGCTCACGCTGGAAAATGGACCATCTCTTCCGGTTTCCAGCACTGACACATGGTCACAATGGCCAGCTGATCAGCATGTGCGCTAGAAACCTGGAGGAATGAGCGATGCCACATATGCCAGGTGACATGACTCTGTGTGCCACTTCATGCATGTGTGCCATACAGCTCTATAATAATAAATACAATGGCCATATCAGCAGTGGCTTCAAAGACTTGGGCATTAAGACTGAAACCAAAACAATAAGTACTAAAACATATATGTTCTGACAGGGGAATATAAATTTGCAAAAAGTACAACAAAAAAGCTATTCCACTCATAGCAAAAGAATACCAGAGACCAAAGAGTCTCTGAAGCTTTCTCAGTCTGACAAAATATTCTTCCCTCAACTAAGACTGTAGTATCTTCAGATTGAATGTTCACAGGATGCATCAACCCCTTCTCTTATTACTTGTAATCCAAAAACTAGGCTTAAACATGTGTGCAGAATTGTGATTAATGATCAAGACCTGTTATCCATCATTCCAGAGATCCCAAAATAATTATTCTGAATTACAGGAAAACAAATTCTGAATATTAAGAATAAAGTTCTACCACTAAGACTCATTAGACACTCTCATAAATTACTGAGAGAAGTGATGACTTTCTTGCCCTAGATGTGTTCAGAGGAAATCTGGAAAGTCACCTTTTAATCTGGAATTTTATATTGAGCAGATTAACTTTAGTGGTTCAAATTAAAGTTGTATAAATCTATGGTGATCCAAACTGTTTATTAGTGGGCAACTGTATTGATGGAAAAATTGGTACCTGGCTTCATCACCCTATTATAATCTGTGGAATAATGACTGGAAAAGGTTGAAGCTATTTGTTAATTGACGTGTATTTGAGATGAAATGATAGACTAAGAAAGATTAATTGGACATTTCCTTATGAGGAAAAGTGGTCAGAGAACCAAGAATAACTTCAGAGAGATTTGAGGAGAGAAGCAGTTTGAATCCGCAGAGCCGCGTAATGGAGTGTGCTCCCGTTACTTGTCCCAGCTTCTGTCAACCTAGCAGTTCGAAAGCAAGTAAAATATGCAAGTAGAAAAATAGGGATCACTTTGGTGGGAAGGTAACAGTGGTCTGTGTGCTTTCGGCGTTTAGTCATGCCATGAACATAGAGACGTCTTTGGACAGCGCTGGCTCTTCGGCTTTGAAACAGATGAGCACTGCCCCTAGAGCCAGAAGCAACTAGCACACATGGGCGGGGGAACCTTTACCTTTGAAGCTAAGTTAAATGCAAATCACATGCGATGAGGAGCCCCCCCCCTTGAATGCCAAAAGGTTACAGAGCCGAAAAAAGCATCTCCTGCAAAATTTAAAACCTAGATAGGTTCACAACAGGAGAACCAGTTCTTAATCATGATCTGAGCCATTTACAGCTTTAAAAGTCAATAGCACTTTAAATAGCGCAATATTTAGATAGATCTTTCACTAATGGAATCAGATAACCTCTGTACTTTGCATCATTACCAGCTTACTTTTGAGCAAACTGCAATTTGAAGAGGATGATGATGATTCTATCTTTACCCAAATAGAAGACAATGCCCAAAATATAGTTGCTTAGGACCATTCCTAAGGCAAAATACTGAACCAAATACCTGGTTGTTTCCCAAAAGCTTTTGAATGGTCTTGTTTACAATGGCACTGTAGAAAATTTCTTGTTTTTTAACAAGAGGTGCATAGACCACAACTTCACGCTTGGGAGGAACTTCTACAGCTACATCTGATTTCAGTCTTCTCAATAGGAAAGGAGTCAAAATCTAGAGTAAAAAAAAAAATCAAAATACATTTCTATCCATTTATGATTATAAGCTTGCTTATTTCAAAAGAAAGCATTATAATTCCAAGATTGCATGATGTGAGGTTTTTTGTACGTAATTTCTCTCAGTGGCATTTTTGACAGAAAATTCAGCCTTGGCAAAACTTCTTGTGCTTGATTTTTTTTTTTTTTTTTGTATAAACAGAAGACAAGATAAAAAGTTTCACTTTCATCAAAGCTAAATATTTCCATATAATAACCACTTCCTACTGTAGCTAACACAAAACAGAAGCAATCACAATCTTTGTGACTGGTGAAACAAATGACTCCATTATCTATACCAGTGTTGGCTAACCTTTTTTGTTGTTGCGTGTCAAAAGCATGCGCACAACAGTGTGCCGCCACGCCCAGTTTTGGGCCTAGTAGGCCTTTCCTGCACAAAAAAGGGCAGTGGGGGGCGATGCGTACCCCACCCCCATAAACATCTCCCGCATGCACAAAGACCCGAAAATCAGCTGATTGGCAGGAACCACACACGTGGTGCTGAGCTCGGACGACAGCTCACGTGCCTGCAGAGAGGGCTCTGCATGCCACAAATTTGCCATCACGGATCTATACTTACCAACCCATCTACCCTCCCATACCTCAACTATGCTTACACCATAGAAAGCTTCCATTGCCCTAGGCAAAGACTAAATCCTGAATGTTCAAGTACTGAGTATAAGAACAAAGTTATGAGGGGGAAAAAAACCTGAATTTCTCAGCAAATATATCTTCACTGTGAGGAATTCACAATAGGAAAGTAAGGGTGTCCGCAGATATATGTTAACAGTGGTATTTGCAAGTATATTCATGTGTGTACATATAGTTATCAATAGTATGGTTCAATAATAATAAAGAAAAGTGGCAATCTGGAAGAAGAAAAAAACATATATTTTAAGCAATGAAAACAGACCTGGTGCAACATGTGCAAAATATTCTGTTCTCTTTCCTTAGCAACAATATCCTCAGCAATTTCAGAAATACTGGTAATATCAAACCAGGATTCAAAACTAGAAAAAAAATCAAGAAAAAATGAATTAAGAAGTGAGGAGCTACAATTTAGTTCAGTGCTGGGGAAAAAATAAAGTTTTGCAATGTGCACTGATTATCCAAAATGCGTTTTTTCTTATTCATATTTTTTTGCCTTTCAAGAAAGGGGACAAGAAACATAGAGTATGAAACTTTGTCCAATGACTGCAATGAAACTCTACTTATCATGTCTCTCCCCCCCCCCATTCTTGATGCATTTGAATTTTATATTTATTTTCACATGCATCTTCAGCTATAAAATCTAGAAGTATAATCTCAAAGAGTGCAACAAAATTCTAGCCATTGGAGGATTTAGTTGGCAGATGGGAATAGCACACAACTCCGAGGCCAATTTCTGCAAATCCAAATTGATGTACTGTTAATGAATTTGTTGACAAGGATGCTTGATCACAAAGTAATGTTTGAAAATACAAGGAACTTGAGAAATCTTGCTTTTATAAGCAAAACAAACAAAGAAAAACCCTAACATCCTAAGGTGTTACAGAAAATAAGCCTTGTAATTTCATAGAAAACTAACATAAAAAGAAAGGAGGGCTGACTAAGAAGTGAAAGCTCAAGAAAAACATTACAAAGAGGCAAAGAACGTTTCTTGCGGTATTATTGCCATTGTGCCGGAAATGGTGCAGAGAAAATTCTGGGAGATGTCCCTGATTTGTTGTCCTAGTACTGTGATGGTGAACCTATGGCACGTGTGCCCAAAGTGGCACGCAAAACCATGTCACCCGGCACACGCGGCCTTGCCTGTTTGTCTTCTGAGTTTCTGACACGCATGTGGGTGTGATGATCAGCTGTCCTTTATGTGTGCACAGTAGCAAAAACCAATGTGCAGATGCACACCGCCCAGCCAATTGTTGATTGTACATGCGCGCCAGAAAAAATTCAGCTTTTCCGGAGCACAATCCCTTCGTGCACGCAGCAGTGCTGCAAACCGGCAAGCACATGTGCACCAGCCAGCTGATTATCAGGTGCACATGCACACTAGAATCCAGAAGTTGGGATTTTCCAGAGCATGGTCCTGATGAGCACATGTGTGCGACGTTTCCGTGCAATCTTTTTGGCACTTGGTGCTAAAAAGGTTCGCCATCACTGTCCTAGTATGTGTCAGACTGCATTTTATAACAGTGGAAACAACGCAACTTCAAGGAGGGCAGTCAATTCTGATGCCAATGTTCTGCTTTGCTACTGAAGATACTGCCTTTTTATACTTATATTAACTGTTCATGATCAGCTGCCTCCTAAATGCACAGGCGTAGAGGCTGTTAGTTTTGACAACTACATTGCAGTTCTTGGGTCAAATATTTCTTATGACTAGGTAAGTCAAGGATGAAAGAGCCACATGCAGCTCCAGAGCAGCGGGCTACCAACCCCTGTCCTAAACAATGGCTTCTTTCTCCTCTATATCTATGACTTTTGTGTATAGAGATAAGTCCACAACCAAGAATGTATTTTTGTTTAGCAGTTTACCGGCCTGGAAGAAAATCCCTGTGAAAATAGGGTAAGCCACTGTTCTGAAAACAGATGGACTATCAGAGAGTAAATCTCTGGTCTTTCAGGTGTTGTTCAATACTGCCTCCATCAGCTCCATTAAACAGATGTAACAAATAAAGATAGGGTGTGGAAGAGAAAGAGTTGGATACCTTTCACACTTCTCCTGGAAAACATCTGATAACTCATTCTTGGAACTGTTAGAGTTTTATCCCTTTCTTATTTTCTCCTTTTGAAAGCATGTACAGTTAAAAAAAAACACCAACCCTGGATTTAAGTATAACTCAATCTGGCACAATCAATTCTAGTTACGATGGTGTTTGAAAGTTGAAAAAACATCATTTTAGATGTTTTTTTCTTACTTAAGAACTGATTTTTCTATTTAAATCCTGTGTAGTTGTAAAAATGTAACTTTGTATAAATCAAAGAAGCTATGGTGACCCCAGGAACTTTCTGGCATTGTAATATATGATTAAAAGATGGCAATTAAGACTAACCACATGGATTTGGATTTGTTGATATAAAATTAGGAATTTTTCCTATTGATACAGATAGTAATTCATGAAAGGTAATCTGCCTTTTTGCATATAATCCTTTGCAAATCTTTATTTGGGACTTCGGGTCTGATTAGCTAGTAGCCAAGAATCGCTGTTTTAGGGTATTTCACTGAAGAAACTTTGTTTTAGATCTCTGTTGCTTTGTTTCATCCCTTAGTGGGTGATCTAGTCTTCTGTTACTGTAGAAATGAAGAGTTCTTATTCTATCATTCTAAAAATCATCACTAGAAACAAAACAGAATAGATTGGATTTTTTGTTTGTTTGTACTTATCCCTGCCTGGTAGTTCATGTAAATAAACATTACATTTTCAGCACAAACCAGATAATGTAACTGCTCAAGACAAGTCTCCCTCCATATCAGAAATATACTGTTTTTTAACGGAGTATAAGCCACTCCCCCCACCACCCAAAAAAAGAGGGTGGAAATGTTGGTGCATCTTGTACATTGACTACAGCCATTTTTGGCCTCCTGAAACCCTCCCCCACGGGTCCCATTTTTGCGAAAAATTGATCTGTTTTTGCCAAAAGTGGCACGCAGATAGGATTTGGGAGGCCTGCAGAGTGCTCTTGGGGGCTGCAGAGGGCAAAAATGGGATGCGTGATGGTGGTGGAAGGCTGAAAACGGGCCCATTTTTCGCAAAAATGGGGCGTACAGAGGGTTTGGGAAGCTTGCAGAGTGCTCCTGGGAGCTGGGGAGGACAAAAATGGGATGCGTGGGGAGTTTGGGAGTCCAAAAATGGGATGTGTGGGGAGTTTGGGAGTCCAAAAATGGGACGTGCAGAGGGTTTGGGAGGCCTGCACAGTGCTCCTGGGGGCCGGGGAGGGAAAAAACTATTTTTTTTCTTGATTTCCTCTTCAAAATCTTGATGCATCTTATACTCCAAAAATACGGTAATCTTCCAAAGACTGTTCCCATGGATCTGCTCACTATCATATCTGGGAGGATTTCTGAACACCAGTTTGATTGCTCATTATGAGTATTCTTAGCCTTGGAGTGCTCAAGGAATGTTTGCCTTCTTTAGAAAGGGCCTGGCCATAACACCACTTTTCTGTTCTCACAGTCCCCATTGCTCATTCCCAAGAAGCAAGCAACTGGACTGTTTTTTTGTGATGATTTGCCACCAGGGATGGTTGGAATATTCTTCACTCATTTCCTGCCCACTGAAAAGGAATAAAAAACCCTTTGGAAAAATCATGAAAAGTTACATCTCTCCTGAAGGAGGTTATATATTCATTTTCAGATGTTCAATTAATACTTCTAAATCAATTCCAACTACTTACCTTTTCAAGTCATCAAAGACATCTGGAAGAAGGAAATTAAGGAGGGACCAAAGCTCAGATAAATTGTTTTGTAGTGGGGTTCCAGTTAACAGTAGTTTATTATCTGTACTAAATCGTTTTAATTCCTGAATAAGACGACAGTTCATATTCTTAATCCTATGTCCTTCATCCACAATCAAATATTTCCAGTAGAAATTCTAGAGGAATACAAGTCTTCTATTATTCCAAAAAGCAAAATTCCTCAATAAAGATTCAATTTTTTTGAAATGTATGTTCAGTTTAAAGAAAGATTAAGTACATTATACTAGAATAACAAGTATGATTTTTCCTGTTATATTATTAAATCTGATTGTTTTCTATGCAAACTAATGATTTTGCATATTATATTATTCATAATTAGATTGGCTGCATCAATCATAGTAATATATTAATGCTTAAATGGCTCACATATTTTTATACTGATAAAGGATATTATTTGTAGCTCAGGATTGAAATAATCTTTGGTCTTTGGTTCTCTCTGAGAACTCTGGTTGTTTTCTTGCAGACATATATCATTACCCAAATAATGAACATCACCCAAAATAGGCAACATCATCAGTGCTAGTAAGGAGTGGGGTTTGCTCTCAGTTTATATTCTAGAGCATTGATGGCGAACCTTTTTCTTATGGCATGCCCACTCAAACCTTCCAACACCACCACCCCCGTGCGCATGAACACCCGACCCCTCCCCAGGCTCTGGAGACTTTCCTGAAGCCTGGGGACGGCAAAAATAGATTCGCCCAGCAGCGAATCATTTCTGAACTTCCGGCTGGGGACGTTTTTCGCCCTCCCCAGCCTCCAGAGGTTTTCCTGAACCCTGGGGAAAGCAAAAATGGCCTCCCCTGGACCTCTGGAAAGGCGAAAAATCAGCTGGCTGGCGTGCACATGCACACCAGAGCTGATGGCTGGTGTGCTACCAAGTATAGCTCTGCATGCCACCTGTGGCATGCGTGCCATAGGTTTGCCATCACAGTTCTTGCCTTGGGCTGGTCTTAGAGGTTCTTCGGTTGAACTATTTATTGTTGGCTTCTTGGCAGTTCCTTGATTGGGTTGTTTGCTTGATTGTAGCTGACGTTAATCTTGGGAGTTAATCTATGCTCATCTGGATGCTGATTGGATCTAATCTATTCAAAGCACCCAGATGAGCATAGATTAACTCCAAGATTAACATCAGACCCACAATAAAACAAATGAAACTCCAATCAAACAATTGCCAAACAAGCCAAAAGTAAACAGCCTAACCGAAGAACTTATAAGACCACCCCAGGGCAAACCACCAGAATATAAACTGAGAGCAAACCCTACTCCTAAGTAGCACTGATGATGTTACCTAGTGTGGGTAATGAAACGTCTGCAAGAAAACATCCAAGCTCAGAGAGCACCAAAAACTCATTTTTTTATACTGGTTCTGACAGTGATGTGATGCATTTGATTCTGTATTAACTTGATTCTCTAGAAGAAAGCGACCATTATCTAAAAATAAATGACTGCACATCTACTGCTCAAAGAAACAGGAGACTTTCCAGGAAAGTCTCAATGTGTCTCAAACTCCCAAATTTAATATGAAAAGTCACTTTAAAAACATTTCTAAAGACAAAATTAATAGCTCACAAATATGAGTGGGGAGAAAGAACGAGAATGGGATGGTATAAATGAAATGTGAAGCCAACATCAGGGCCACATCCTGGTCAATCTTGCACCAGGTTTGGTTAGATAAGCAGGACAGCTGTATTTCCAATTTTGGAGTGTTGAGTTAGTTACGATTCACTATTAGTTCTTAGAATAGATTAATTAACACTAATTTTGCATAAAATACCAACTACAATTCTGTAGTTGGTGAAAGTGCTAATTGAACAGCATTTTCTTACATTACCTGAAGAGAATGTCTATCTCTCATTGCAATTTCAAAAGACGTAATAACAATAGGATGGATATTCATTGAACTTTCTTTCCTTCGTATTTTATGAATGAGTCCACGTCGTTCTTGCTGGGTTCCATGGTATAGCATTATAGGAATCTAAAGTAATTTTGCAATCATTTTTGAATAATTCATATTTAAATAGTAATCAAAGATTATAAAAACATTTATAAAACATCTTGTTTATTTTAATTGATTTCATAGTACTTTTACTCAAAACCTTTAGTTGGGATGCTATTGTTTTCTCTGCAATCTTTTCACCCTTAAAGGCCTTGGAAGGATTAACAGGGATTCCCAATCTATGGACTTTTGTCTTATTAAGAGACTGAATAAGATAGCTAAAGTGGCTAGGTTTCGACAATATGAAGATCCTCCCTAAAGTGACAAGATTAGGACCACCCCTCTTAAAACAGGCAGTCTTTGGCATGTGCCAAAATATTGCAATGGAGTTTGAAATGGGCAAATATGCCACTTTTACCTTCAAAGAGCGGAAAATAGTGAAAAGTGAAGGAATCAAGATGCCCAATGGAAATAACATCAAGAGTTTGGATGAAGACAATAACTGCAAATGCCTGGGCATCCTTCAAGGTGATAACATCAAGCACACTGAAGTCAAGAAGGTGGTTAGAAGTGGATACATCATGAAAGTGAAGTGGAAATTCAGTGGAGGAAGACCAGAAAAATAATGACTGAAACGTGTCCTTCATCCACACAGCGATGCTGACAGGCTCTGTTTAGAAAGAAAATGGGTGGGCGTGGAAGGGGGTGCATAGACAGGAAAGATGTACTGAAGCTAGTATGTCATGAAAGATTTCTGAGTTCTGGAGAAACCAAACAGGCTTACAAGAAAGACCAAACAAAGAACAGAAAAGAGACAGACTGTGTGATCAGCCATAATAATAGTTTCTAGAACAAGTGTATCATTTAAAACTAAAAACATATCTCACCTCTGGTGTAAATCTTTTGAATTCAGCAATCCAGTTAGGAAGTGTGGATAGTGGCGCACATATCAGAAATGGTCCAGCAACTCCTCTTTCCACCATCAAGGCAATTGTTGCAATACACTGGATAGTCTTCCCTAAGCCCATTTCATCAGCCAAAATGCCATTGATGCCGTTTTCCCAGAGCATCTGTGTAGAAAAAGAAAAATAGATACTGTATATATTTCAATTACACTTTTTCTTTTTATGATCCTGTAATCCCTTGCTTCGGGGTGGGAGGACATGTACTTCAGTTACACTAATGGATATAAATTGAAACATGAACACCTTGATGCAAAATGAACCCAAATAATAATTTAATCTGCTTTGTAATTAAATGAACATAATACCCAATAATCAGGAAGATTTGATTGTTAAAAATAGCAAAGGCTAATTGCATGAGATTTCAAGTTTACAGGAAACCAGAGGATAGTTATTTTGTCACATTACATTTATGTACAACGTATATTTTACTATCTTTTAATGAACACTAACCATTTTTGTTGCATTAATCTCAAGATGCATGCCCCTCCCCTTCCTTAAAGAATGCAACCATTAACTGAGTTGGTTTTAACTAAAGCTAGATAACAATAGATCTGAAATTGAAATTTCAACTTGAATTACCTAAAGCTGTTGTGCTCCAAACAGCTTGGAAATAATGGCTTCCATTGTACTACTTAGTAGTACGTTGTACTACTAAGACATACGTGAGTGTCTAGAAACAACTTTCCTTGCCACCATTTTCCAGAAGAGATCCTTAAAGCCGTATTTAAGAAGAGATTGGGCAGCCATTTGTCTGAAATGGTATAGGGTCTCCTATACCATTTCAGGGGGTTGACTAGAAGATCTCCAAGGTCCCTTCCAACTCTTATTCTGTTATGACTTATTTTTAAGCAATAATCCTGGAATGCTAATGTTCTCTACAGCTACATTAAGCAACAGTTAAGCTTTATCAACCATTTATTTGTACCAGAAAGATAAAATCTAAGAGCAATAATTCTGGCAACTACATAAAAGTGAATAAAGTAGATTGTGGTTGAAAGTTATTTGCGTGTGTGTGTGTGTGTGTGTGTGCGCGCGCGCGCATACATGTGCCTTTGAATTAGTGTTGGCTCCTGGTGACTGCCTGGACCAGGGATCAGCAACCTGTGGCTCTGGAGCCACGCATGGCTCTTTCATCCTTCTGCTGCAGCTCCCTATTGCTGGTTGGCTCCACATTCATCGTGCTTTTGGTTAGGACAGTAGAGGAAATATCGTTCTAGGAGGAGACTCTATAGTAGGGGAAACGGACTTCCAATTGGCTCCAGAATTGAATAGGGGACTTCCGATTAGGACCTTTGTGGCTCTAAGTGTTTAAAATTGCTGACCCCTGGCCTGGACATTCCCTAGTTTGTTGGCAAGATTTCAAAAGTAGTTTGCACTGTGTTCTTCCTAAGGCTGAGATTGAATGGTCACCCAAAAGAGGTCCTGCCTAAAGTAGAAGTAGAAATCCGTCTCCTGTTTCTACTCTGGTTCATTAACCATTACACGGCTCTCGTTTAATTAATAAAATTGCTAACATTCAAAAACGACTAAAATAATTCTTCAAATGCCTACAACAAAATAAAAAGATCTTCACACTGGAAAAAACCAAAATGTGGAGCCATGCAAGTCTTTTTCAATCTCCATCACGTAAAAACCCATTTTCTCTGGTAGCCACCCACTTGAGTTCATTGAACTTCAGGTGAAAATATGGCAAGTAAATGCTGAAAGAATAAGATTGCATTAGTTGACTTAGTTATTCCAAGAAAGTTGAATCTTTTTAGACAGTGGAATATTTGAAATCATTTTCATGATTAACTGCTAATGACCTAGCCAAATATGATTACATAAGAAAGTATAAATTCATACCCTAAGCCATTCCATGCCTTCAACTTGATACCACCTCATCACTCCTCCAGTGAAAAGTTTTGGTTGCTGAAAAGGTACTGGCTGCCCATTAAACGTTCGTTTTGGGTCAACAAAATGCTTGGCACTATGTCGCATCACTTGTGCCAATCTATCCTTAATGATGCTGTTTGAATCCCCATTATTCTGGATTTCTTCTGCACACAGTTTGGGTGGATTGCTTTCAATCTATAGAAGAAAACACATAGGCAATATTATTTTTAGTGTCCAAGTTTTTATCCAGTTATGTAAGTTATTTCATCGTTAAGCCAGATGAAGTCAATATTACCATACTTGTAAAAGAAACTGTTAATAAAAACTGGTCTAAATTCAAGTTGTGTTGTAAATTATAACATGAATTTCCTATGATTATAATTTATATCAGCATTCATGTAGCTTGGCACAATTGGAAAGATTCTGCATTTCATTGTTATGTGGTTATTATTATGAGAAAATGCAGCAAATGAAATATATATTTTTCCTTTCTGAAACAAATTATCTTCTCTTCCCTACAAAATACAGTACAGTACAATGGCCAAACTCAAACAGTTTTCCATTGATATTCATAGCACTCAGAATTAACTAAAGGCACCTTTACACCTTAGCATTTCTACCATGCTCCTGAAAGCTTCCTCAGAGTAGACAAATTCTCATTTTCTTATATGACAGTAATGCAGAGGCTTTAGGCACTCTGCCTCTTACACAAACCCAATACTACAATGAAGTCATGTTTTGTTATATTAGAGAATGGCACTCCCCCAACCCTACTTTAAATTATTAAGCTTTAAGATGGCATATGCCTTTTTAAAATTATTTTGGTCTTTTAATGACCCTGTCATTCAGTTGCCCCAACTTTACCATTGGGGTGGAGTTGGGGCAACTGAATGGAGCTGAGTGTTTACTGGCCGGATGCCCTTCCTGTTGCCAATGCAGTTTGCAGCTGATATTTACTCATTGTGCCCAGAGAGAGAAATACCTGCTGCTACCTAGGATTGAACTCATAACCTTCTGATTGTGAGGGTGAGAGCTCCACCTCTAGGACACTACGCCACTCATGGCATTTGCATCTATGTATTTAAGAAAATATCTTTAATTACTTTCAGGATCACAATCAGTTTAATATATGCTTCTGCCATTTCCTTTTTGTACTAAGGTTTTATGATTACAAATAAGTAGTAATTGAGTCAAGCCTGACTGCTGGTAACTCCATGGGGACATCCAGACTGCTCTAAACATACACACATACACAGTACATGTCATTTTTGGTAGCAATATGGAGAATATTTTTACCATTGCTTTCCACTTGTTTTTAAGATGATTAGCAAAGAAAAAGAAACATGCTTAGTTGGTATTCTCTTGAAATTGTTTTGAATTCATAGTGCTTCTAAAGTAAATATTTAAAATTCTTAAATGAAAGTTTTAAAAATGAATATAAGGATAGCCTATTATAACAGCAATATTCAAAACTTGAAATATACCTGATCATTTTCCACTTTGCTTTTTTTGGCTGCTAATAAAATTTCCTGTGGAAAAAGGAAGAAATAAAGTTATTGAACAACTCACAACTGTGAGGTGGGCGGCTATATAAATTTAATAAATAAATAAAATTTCTCATTGAATCATTCAAAAATAGCATTTTATGGATTTGCATTAAGCAATTTACCTCTTTTGAAATGACATCAGAAATATTGTATGTTTTGTCTTCTCGATCTCTCTTTCTTTTAACTATAAGAAAATACAGTATTGATTTCAGCACTCAGTTTCTAGATACATAACAAAATATTTTCAGTGCTTGACCAAACTTACCAATTTTCTGATTTTTCTGACCACTTAGTTTTTCATTCTATAAACCAAAATATTAAGAACAAAATAATTTTAATGTTAATATTTGTATACATAATAATTAACAGTTGTAATTAGATTCATCTTGCACAATTGATTTTAAGACTCCTGGCCAAAATTTTAATGTTATTTCTCTAAGCTAGGTTGCAAAATAGAAACAAGATAATGTATTGTATCTCTACTTGTAACAAAGTTGAATATTTATGATTTTTGTATATATATATATTTAAACCAATTCTCAAGTCTACTTCACAGATAGTTCCTTAGACTAGGGATCTTAGACCAGCTGGCTGAGGAACTCTGGGAGTTGAAGTCCACAAGTCTTAAAGTTGCCAAGGCTGGAGACCCCTGCCTTAGACCCATTCTCTGCTCCCTTTTTCTAAGAGTACAATTCATGCATCTCAGAAATCTCCATGGGGCAGCAACCTATTAGGCGGAAGGAACTGCCACTGTGGAGGAATATTCACATTACAAATATTTCAATATCACAGATTTGATTTGAGTATATCTATATATCACAATGCATGCCTTTCAATTACCCATCAAAGGATATGTAATCTGAACAAAGAATACACTAACAATTTGAACAGAATATTTATTCAGTTATCTAACATTTAACGTTGATTTTACCTTTGCAGTGTTCAATGTTCCTTTTCTTTCAAGTTTTTCTTTCTTTTGTTGCTCCTAAAATCAAGATTTTTACAAATCAGTTGTTTCTTTATGCACAGACAAGTGACCTTTGATGTATCTCTACTTTGGTATTTAAGTATTTTCATTTTAATAGCAAATACCTTAGAGCCGTGATAGCGAACCTGTGGCACGCATAACCATATCTGAGGGCATGTGAGGAGTTGCCCTAGGTCAGCTTCAATTTGCATGTGTGCGCTAGCCAGTTGATTTTCGGCCTTCGGGAAGGCAGGGGGAGGCCGTTTTTTGCCTTCCCCAGGCTTCAGGAAAGCCTCCGAAGCCTGTGGAAAGCCTCCGAAGCCTGTGGAAAGCCTCCGAAAAACAAACCCAATGGGCTTAACGGAAGTTCAGAAACGAACTTCCGGTAGGCTCTTTGGGCTGTTTTTTGCCCTCCTCAGGCTTCAGGAGGCTAGCCTGGGGACGGCAAAAAATGGCCCAATAGACCTACTGGAAGTCCAGAGGCAGGAGAGGGGGGGGTGCGCAGGAGAAGGGGGGAGGACATTGCATTATGGGTGTGGGCCCGCATGCATGTGCTATCACACACACCCCCGTCCTTTTGGCACCTGAGCAAAAAAACCTTCGCCATCACTGTCTTAGAGGTTTAGGTAGCACTTGGAATAAAGCATTCAATTTAACTAAGAGGTTTTTTTCTAGCATGAAACAGAATAGAGCTGGAAGGGACCTTTGAGGTCTTCTAGTCCAGTCCCCTGCTCAGGCAGGAGATCCTATACCATTTCAGACAAGTGATTGTCCAGTCTTTTCTTAAAAACCTCCAATGATGAAGCACTCGCAACATCTGAAGGCAAGCTGTTCCACTGGTTAATTGTCCTCACTGTTAGGAAGTTTCTCCTCAATTCCAGGTTGCTTTTCTCCTTGACTAGTTTCCAGCCATTGTTTCTTGTCCTGCCTTCTGGAGCTTTGAAAAATAAATTGACCCCCTCTTCTTTGTGGCAGTCCCTCAAATACTGGAATACTGCTATCATGTCACCACTAGTCTTTCATTTCTCCAGACTAGCCAAACCCAAATCCTCCAACCAACCATTCTTCTTGTTTTAGCCTTCAGATCTTTAATCATCTTAGTTGCTCTTGCACTTTTTCCAAAGTCTTAACATCTTTTTTGTAATGTGGTGACCAAAACTGGTTGCAGTATTCCAGGTGTGGTCTTACCAAGGCTTTATAAATTATTAATACTTCATGTCATTTTGATTCTACACCTCTATATATACAACCAAGCATTGTATTAGCTTTCTTTGGCTGCCGCCACACACTACTGAATCATGTTTAAATGTTTGTCCACTAAGACTTTGAGGTCCCTCTCATAGTTACTGTTTTGCAGCATGATTTTGCCTAATCTGTACCTTTGGTTTTTTTTCCTGCCCAGTTGTAAAACTTCACTTTTCTCCACATTAAATTTCATTTTTTTTTATAGGGCCCATTGTTTAAGTCTGTCAAGATGTTTTTGGTTCCTGAGCTTGTCTTCTGGGGTGTTGGTTGTTCCTGCCAGTATAGTGTCATCTGCAAATCTGAGATAGAGATCTCCTTCTATTCCCTCTCTAAGTCATTTATGAAGATATTGAAGAGTACTTCCCTCCATGTGGATGTGGTATCATTAAGGACTACTCGTTGAGTACGGTTTGCGATCCAGTTACAAATCCATTTGGTACTGCTGCTGCTGTGTATCCCACATTTTTCTATCTTACCAAGAAGTAGGTTGTTGTCTACTTTGTCAAATGACTTACTGAAATCTAAATATACTATGTCCACAGCATTTCGCTAGTGTACTAATTTAGTCACTATGTCAAAGAATGAAATAAGATTGGTTTGGCATGATCTGTTTTTCTAGATGTTCACAGATCTGTTTTTGATCATCTTTTCTAGGATCTTCCCAGGTATTGATGTTAGACTGATTGGTCTGTAGTTTCCTGGGTCTATCCCCCGCCCCTTTTTTTAAAGATGAGAACTACATCAGCTCTTTTCCAATCCTCTGGTAGTTCCCCAGTGCTCCATGATTTTTTAAAGATATGATACAATGGTTCTGAGATGTCTACATTGGAGAAAATATGGTCTAAAGTTAGAATCTCTATAAAATAGTTTGCAACAGTGCACCTTCCCATGAACATTCAAAAACTCTACAAAGAATCCTGTCTAAAATTGGATGTCCCATCAAGAAAGAGACAATATCATGCATATAATCAATTGTCTGGGTTGCAGCCAACCTATACAGGGCTGTCAGTAATGACAACCACTCCAAGAAAAATCACTATCTAAAAACCAGCCATTCTCACAGAATGAACCACACATTTGACCAAAATATGCAACTAATAGACCATGTGAATAGTAGACCAGCCAGTATTTGTGAAAGCCTAGCACTCAAAATAAGCCACAAACAGATTGATGGAACTACATACACCCTATTACCCAGTCAAATGCCTGATTCAAATTGTACACGATGGACTGATAAGATCTGCTAATCATAATACAACATTATTCCCAACTAGCGGATACTTTCCAAGAAATTTCCCATCACCAACCAACTTCAAAGAATTCTATACAGAATATAATCGCTGGAATTGCAAGGTGAAACATCTGCAATAACCTTTAACTCTAGCTTGATATGGATTTTCCCAGAGAAATCCAAATAAAAGTATGAATAGTTCACGTCAGCAGACTCTTCTGAAATCTTAGAATAGCTCTTCAGTTTCTATTCTTTTTAGAGATCATAATGAAAAATGAAAGCTCTGGAATAACTTAATTGCCAGTAGAACCAACCTCCTGGTTTTAGAGCCAATTTAAAGCAAATGTAGGGCGCTTATCCTGTTGCTACTGGGGAAAATAGGAAATCTATCGAATGTTTCCTCAGAATACAGTGCATTCATGAGAAATTGAGAGAAGCACCCAAGCATCTGAGATGACAAAGCTTCTGGGTAAGTAAGCAGATTTTAATAATGTTATATGGATGCACCATTGTGGACAGAAGGAAAAAAAGGTGACTTTGGAGCTACTGCTGATCTGCTGTTTTAGCAGGAAGTTTTCTTATGTACACTGAGTGTATATGCACCAAAGACAAATTTCTTGTGTGTCCAATCACACTTGGCCAATAAAGTATTCTATTCTATTCTATTCCATTCTATGGAGTTCAATATACCTTTCCACTAATTGAAGTACTATTGCACTTGCTATTGAAGATTCCTTTATTTGCTACTAAGCAGTTTATTACAATTTAATCATTTTAATCAACTACAATGCAATTGTTTCATTTGATTAATCAATACTACATACTAACTCACCAATTTATTATGCATTAAAGATATTGGTCTGTTATTCCAATACTTTTAAGTTGATTATTTGTGGGTGGAATCTAATCAGATTCCTGGAATAACCCAGATCAAAGGATATGGCTTTCAGGGCCACCGCACCTTGGGTACCTGAAACAGAAATATTAGTATGTGCTCCTGTCTGTCCTATCTGGGAACAACGTTGTGATCCTGAATCAGATGCATGATGGCCTGGCAGCCGCTCACCCAAAATTACAGTGGCAGCTGAGGGGTAGAGAATTACATTCAAGGTTTACATGCAAGGCTTCTGTCAGGCCTGCAGCCATCCTTTCTTTTGGAACTTTGCCACTTTCTATTATTCTACTATGCACTTTCTATTGTGGGAAAATGAGAGAGGGGATGGCACGGAGTTAGATGATATCTAGTCATAACAAGATTCTTTCTAGAAAGCCAAGGTTATCCCTTGTCTTTGCACTTCTGTACCTGACCAGAACTGGATGTGTGGAACTGCTAGCATGGCAGTGGAACATTGGACCATGTGATGGACTTGTGGGTGTGGGGGCAAGATCTTGAACTTTCAACTGGGTGAGGAAAATCAGGAAGCTTTTAGATTTGGGTTTTCCCATATGTGCCAACATGGCTCTCTTAATAAATTGGAACTTTGAGCATACTTTGCCTCGGACTCTGATTTACTTTTGGATGCTATTTGGAACCCCGAGAGCTTGATTTTGAGTATAAGCTGTTTCACCTATGAATTCAAGGCTTATTGTAGAAAGATACTTTTGATCTGGCCAGGAATTATAATGGTATGTGGGAATGACCTTGGGAGACAGAAGACTCACAAACTGCTCAATCAGACAAATGGCATTTGAGGCCACCAAAGGAATGGAGGCCTGGCAAATATCTCACAAGACAGGTCCCTTAGATCCCTATTGGTACGCTGTCATTCTGGCAGGGGAGGGGGGTATATTTCAGGAAGAAAAATATTCCAGTAGCACTAAGTTCCTTATCAATCCAGGAGAGAACAAATAGGAACAAAAAGTGAGAATCAAGGCTATCATAGTAGAACAGCAATAAAATAGGACATTAGGATGAAACTTTGTTCTGCTTACACTGAAGGCAAGATAACAAGGCCATGAAGCAGAGGCTTTGTGACAATAACAAAACATAAGAGTTTAGCTGCTAGTTTAAGGAGGTAAACTTCTGTAAAATGAAGAAAAATTAAAGCCAGACCAATAAATATAAACTGTTAGTCAGAATACTGTTCCCAGGAATCATACATAAACACAACCTCATGAGTTGGAATAAGATCTGAAAGCTTGTAAAATGAAGTCCCTGCACCCTCCTCATTCTGAGCCCCTTATTTCAGTAGTTTCATAACAGCTTAAAAATTGGAGGGAGGGGGGCCTCTGTGACTTTTCAAGCTCTATTTGTAAGAATTTAGAACTGAAAGAAGTTGACCATCCAACTTAGGCATAAGCAGCTATTTATGGATTAGATATGGTGCTACATCTAGGTGGTTCTTTCTGACTTAGCTCAAAAGTCTTAGCAGCTCAGCATCAGCTTGCTAAGGCTACATGCACTCTTGCACACACAGGAGTTTGTCTTGAGTCCTGGTAACTATAAGGACAAGTCTAGGCAACAATTTGAAAGTGGTTTGCCAATGCTTTCTTCCTACAGCTGAAAGAGAATGACTGGCCCAAAGTTATCTGGTTGACTTCCATGAATAAGGCAGGACTGAAATTGAGATCTCCCTTTAACCTGAAGGCCAAACTGGCTTTCTGTCATGTACATTTGCATGTGTCCACAAATACAGGTGGACTCAGTTATATTAGTTTGAAACTATGCCATCAAATCAAATAAAAGTAATAAGAGCCTAGATATTGTTAATCACAATGACAAATTATGACTATATTATGAAAGCTTTATCTGAAATGCATTACTAGATAGATATATCTAGCTTCTAATTTTAAATGCTGCTAACCTCCAATTGTTGCTGTTCCATTTTAGTCAGCAAGAACTTTGAATAGATGTTGCTTTTTTCAAGCAAGTGTTGAAGTCTCTTGTAGCGCATTTCATTTGTGTCTCTGTCCCGATTCATGTAAGCCTATAAGAAAAAGAAATAATCAATTATAAATATCAACATTAACTGACTATACTATTGGAAATACAAAAGTTGCTATTATCTTTCACCAGTTAAATCTAAATGAATAGTTCAGCCCTACTATTTTCTTCAAGGACCCACTGGAAATACAACTTTTTACTCAATCAGAGCAGCTATTCATCCAGAGCAGCTGGTCTGCTCTGAATTTTCTACATATATTTTAGTGCATGGTTTTATTATAGTAGATATATTAGTGTCAGGTAAATAAACATGCTATATTATTGTAATGGGAGTGTTCAGAGCATACCATATTTGATTTATTTTCTAGTCGCTAATATATAATTTCTCTGTTGATCATGATTGTAATTGTCTTTTATTTCTTTTTATTATTTGATGTAGCTGGTCATTGACTGAATAAATAAATAAAAATAATAAATTTCCTAGTTTCTAAAATTAGATGTCAGGTTTCATCAAGGTAGGAAAAGCCTAGGCTTGCAAGCAGTTGGTGGAGTTAAAGCTTTCATTTTATTTGCATACTTTTTACAAGAATTTTACAAATAAACCATTTTTTTAAAAAGGGATCTTTTTATTTTGTACAAAAAAAAAACTGGACCAAAATTAAAGTCTGGATAAAATTGTAGTGAAAAAAACCCTAAAAATAAGCAGCCTTTAACTCTTTATTTCACTCTAAAAATAAAGAGCCCAGCTCGCACCTTGCCTGCCCCGAGTTGAAGAAGGAAACTACCTGTGAGGAAAAACAACATTGAGGGGAATAAGGAAACCCTTCATGAAGAGAAACTCAAGACTTGCTCCCTCTTCCTCGTCCTAGAGGACAAGTTAAGAAGCTAAATTCCGCTTTAATGTTTTCGGAAAAAAGTTCCTCTGAATAGGCGCACTTCAAGGGCGAAACCAATTCCCTGGTGGTCCATCGTCCGTCTCCCCCCCACCCGGCATTGGAATGAGAGCGGGGACCGCCGCTTCTCCAGGGCGACGACCCCGAGGCTGCTTCCAAACAAGCCGACGCGCCACTCAGCGCGGGACCGCCCTCCTCCCGCGTAACTCGGCCGCAACACCCGGCCTGAGCCCGCCTTCCTCTGGCTTTAGCCCCCAGCCGCACGGCGGGCCTCCTGTCCCGGGGCGCGCACCTTCTCCATCCTTTGCCGCTCCTTCTCCCTGCCCTCCGCCTCCAAGCGCTCCTCCTCCTGCTGCATGGCCGTGGTGATGACCGGCGCTGCATCCTCCGCTCCGGCCGGCTCGGCCATCGTGGACTCTGCAAGGGAAACAAAAGGTGGGCAAAGATCGGCGGGGGCTTTTCCTCGCTTTCTTCGCCCGCCCGCCCAGCGCTCCTCTCTCTGGGCGCAAGGCAGCTGCCCGTTACCTGCACTTGGGACGCTGGTGCTGCTGCTCTCGGTCGGCATGGCTGCCCACGCGCTTTTCCCCTCACTCCGAACCGCACGAGGAGCGACCGCCCCAGTCCCGCCCACAGGAAAAACTGGCGCGCTTTTCGGCTCTTGCGAGAGGTCGGCCTTCCCTGGCGCGAAAGCTGCCTCCGCCTCCGCCGCCCCCCCAGGAGCCCGGAAGGAGGATCCGGACCGCGGGAGGGCGAGTAGGAAAAGAGGGGAGGGAGTCCTTCGGCGGGCCCCTTGCCGTCGGGTCTCTCTCTCCTGGGGCTCCGCAGCCGGATCCCACCAGGCCGCCTCTTTCGGTGAGAAGGGGAGAGGGCGGAGGAGCTCCGCAGGTAGTCCGCTTGTGGCTGAAAAGGAGGAATTCTCTAGGCCTTTAAGGACTCCGCTCCTGATCTTCGGAGAACAGCGGCCTTCCGCCCCGGAGGCATCCCTCCTCCCTTTTTAATAATAATAGTAATAACAATAATATTTTTATTATACTTTATTTATTAAACATGAAACTCAGTCAATTGAACATTCAAAAACGCATCACAGTTATCATTGACTGGTGCTAATGGTTGATACGGGTTTCTGCCACCGTCCTTGGTATCAACCAAGTACCTTAAGATGTACGATGCTCCGAGTAGATTAGTTTTGCTACTCGGAGCATCGTACATCTTAAGGCACTTGGTTGATACCTAGGACGCTGACATCAACCCTTATCAACCATTAGCACCAGGTATTTGTGACACATCTTTAAATGTTCGCAACTGAGTTTCATGTTTAATGAATAAAAGAAGTAATTATTTATTCTCAGTGCACAACATATGTACAATGAGATTGTTGGAGCTCCCTTCCTGGGGTCATCAGCATAGCAATCCAGCGTTCTTTTTTTGTGCTCTAACTAGACACAAGGACAGTTCTCTTCCCCCCCCCCCATGCCATCACTCTGCTAAACTACTAATTCCCCAAACACTGTGAAATTATTTACTAAGACTATTACTATTATTCTTCCCATCTTTCCTAGCACCTATCTCCTTCCACTTATGACTATAACCATGTTGCTTGTATCTTTACAATTTATATTGTTTTGTTTCCTAGTATGATTTGATTGCTTATTAGTAACATGACTATCACTAAGTAGTGTTGTATCTCATGATTCTTGTTTTTTTTTATCTTTATGTACACTGAGAGCATATGCACCAAAGACAAGATTCCTTGTGTGTCCAATCACACTTGGCCAATAAAAAATTCTATGCTATTCTAATTCAGATTAATGTTTGAATCCAATGCCTGCCCTGGCCCGAAGACAGGCAAAAACTGTCTTCCTGCTGCCATAATGCTACCAGTATTGTACATGGGGAGGCATGTATTGTGATCATCACCTACAATTATGACAGCTGTAACTATGTTAAGGGACGCAGTGGCTCAGTGGCTAAGACACTGAGCTTGTTGATCAGAAAGGTCAGCAGTTCGGCGGTCCGAATCTCTAGTGCCACATAATGGAGTGAGCACCTGTTACTTGTCCTAGCTTCTACCCAACATAGCAGTACAAAAGCATGTAAAAATACAAGTAGAAAAATAGGAACCTCTTTTGGTGGGAAGGTAACAGCATTCCATGCGCCTTCGGCATTTAGTCATGCTGGCCACATGACCATGGAGACATCTTCGGACAGCGCTGGCTTTTCGATTTTGAAACGGAGATGAACACCACCCTCTAGAGTCAGGGACAACTAGAACATATATGCGAGGGGAACCTTTACCTTTTTAACTACGTTAAGAATTTTAATGGGGTGGAGGGAGGAAATAATCCACAGACCTGCTATTTCTGGTTTGTGCAAGGGTGGCAAGAAGCCTGGTTGCCATTTTTTTGTCCTCTTCCCTCCTGAAAACGGCTTCTTCCTCTCTCTTAGAGCAGAGCCCTGATGCTGAATATATTTGGCATGTGGCTGTTTACAAATTATGTAGTGGTTCCCATGCATTGTAACTGTTGCGAAGATACTTCCTTTGAAACTAGAGTGGACAACATGGCTGATTACTTCACAGGAAAAACATTTATTATTACCGAAAATATTAAAGTTGTAAGTTCAACATTATAGCTAGCATGTCAATATTAGCTATTGAACCATACAAGCATTTAACATTTCTTTCATGTTCATAGGAAGATCCTGAACCAGCAACGTTCACTTTGAAAGTGTTAATTGCTAAAATTGAAATAGTGGAAACAATATGATTATCTCGCATACATTAAGATAGTGCTTGTTTTCATTTTCAACCACTTTCATTTTGGGGAATATCTCTATATTTCTGAGTTAGGTGTTTTTTTTAAAATAGCAGCTGACATTCTAGCAATTTATCTGTCCTACTGAAATCAATAAATACGGAATTTTTATATTTGTCTTCAACTCATGCAGATAAGTGCTGATACCATATCAGAGTTCTTCTATAGTACACTCATGCTAAATTAGGGCTAATAGTTAAGCCTCAAGTGCGTCAAACTGTCTTTCCTTGATTTATTCACGAAAACAAAAAAATTAAAACAAGGCCAAGAAATATGTTTTTTAGCAAAGCTATGATATTTTAGTGGCAATCAGGAGACAACAAATTTTGATTTACAAGTGACAGGATTTATAGAGTGCAGAAGTGACCAATTTTTTGCTTCATAACATAAACTTATAAAAATTACACTGGTAGAATTGAAGCAGTTAAAAGTGATTTCTATGTTCTCAGTAAATGAATATCAAAAAAGTAAAAAGGGAATAGACTCTACAATGACAAAAGTAGTTAATTCATAGACTTGAGTAGCCTCTGTTACTTTTGAATGTTCTTAGATTATTTTAGTCCAAATGCATTGCTGAGGCATAAATTCTGTTTCAGAAGTTCAATAGCAGAAATCTTGAATTTAGCTTCCTGGAAAAAAGTCATGTATTCTAGAAGCAGATTAAGACCCTTCTTTCATCGCTTTTCCATTTTTTTGTACTTTGCTTCTGTAAGGGACAAAAAAAAACACATAGTCTTAATATAAACATTTTGTTTACATTTTAGTTGTAAATCTAGTAGCATAGTCAGTCATGTTTAAGAAGAAGGGACAACAAAACCTTGAAAGCAAGTACATTCAATGTAATTTCTTCATGTAATCAATAGAACAGATTAGAATATCATATTTTATTTGGCCAAGTATGATTAGACACACAAGGAATTTGTCTCTAGTGCAGAAGTTCTCAGTGTACATGCAAAGCAACTTATGTCAAATTACAAACTTATTCTTAAAATTGACTTCATTTCTTAAAAGAGTTAGGAGTACAAGAAGTCCTTGACTTACCAACAGGTTGCTTAGCAACTATTCAAAGTTATGATAGATCTTCTCAGGGCCACTTGTGGCCCAAATTCAAAGTTCTAATACATCCCCCCCCCATTACATCATTACATTTTGGGTGCTTGGCAACTGGCCTGCATTTATGGCTATGCAGTATTCTGCAGTGAGAATGGCTTGTGATTTACAGCTTTTTTTGCCTGAGACATTGGTTTCCGGCAAAAACCGTCCATTACGGACAATGGATTTACCTAATGACCATGGAATTTGCTTAAAGATCACAAAAAGGTTGTAAAATCAGGTGTGATCCCATGACCTGCTTGATGTCCAACGTTACTTCGGACACAAATTCAGGGCTCAGTTACGGTAATAAGTCAAGGACCACCAATAATACTTTTGAAGGAATATATCCAAAATTTCCTTGGTTATTTAAAATTTTCCTATTTGTTGTAAAATTAAATTTCTTGAGACAGAGGGAGAGAGTGAGGGGATCAGCTGCCATGTGCTTAATGTGTTGTTTCTTGTCTGTTTAAAACTTCTGAAACTTAACTTCTGAGTTTTGGAGTTAAAAACAGAAGTGTCCAGGGAAGGCAGATGTAAAAAATAGTCTAAACTAGCAGCCGCACCTATTTGGATGCCCTTGGTTAAGAGTGGAAACACAGCTATATCCTGTCATAACTAATAATGTATAATATATAATAATAATGTAATAATAAAGTAGGGAAGAGAAATTGGGAGAGATGAGAATACAAACATACAAATATATAAGAGCTGAACTGATTAATCAGGAACTTGAAATACTAGAAAATGTATGTATGAAAATAATCTAAATAATAATATAAAGGAGAAAAGCAAATTGTGTACTGATTGGATCAAATCATGATAAAAATCTTATCTATACAATAGGATGTTAGCAATTGTCCCGATTTTCCTTTAATTGGCCTTTGCCTAAACTCTTAATCTATACCCTTCTTTTAAGGGAAAAAAGCATTTGGTATGAGATCAATGTCACAATGTATTATCCTAATAATAATGAAAATGTAATTTGGGGCTTTTAATCTGTTGGGCCAGATACAAAGCTATGTTTCTCAGCTATTGTTGTACATTGATTTTTGCTTTGAATTTATTTCAGGGGAGACTAATAAGAATCAAAAGCATTTTTTTTTCTTCTTGTTCACTCCTTAAATTATGTCTGACTCTGCTGTACTTTGCTACTTTGTCCTCTGCTATCTCCTGGAGTTTGCCCAAATTCATGTTCCTTTGTCTTCCAATATTTCAAACCAGTAGTGGACACAAGTGACTAGATGGCATGGTCACCGTCCAAGTCAAAAAAAAGATAAGTGTTTTCAGCTTTGCATCAAATCCCATTGTATGTCTCAGCAATTTGTGTGAATTGAATCAAAAAATATCATAGATTAATAAACCGTAGTTTAGTGAAATATGCAATGCTTTTGGCTGTAAATGAATAGGTGAGAACTAGTTTACAAATAGATATCTGTAGTAATCAATAACACAAGAAAAAAATATGCTAAACTTCAGTTATTCTCCATGGATAGGTTTATGGAATGCTGAATCAAATATCCAGTTTTTCTTAGATCAGGCATTGCCAAGTCTCATTCTCTGCAGTTTGAGAGGTGTGGATGTTGGCATCGTAAGATAAAACTTACTAGTACTAAATAGATAAACTAGAAATATATTTCCTTACCA